AACGGTCATAATAGACAAGCCTTTATAAGCTACATCAAGAGGTTGATGGCTACCATAGTTTGAACTTATTCTCTCTAAGCCCCTCCACCTTTTCACTAGCCCTAATGACCACTTTCCAACCTATGGTAGTCAAAAACAAGATTAAGAAAGAAAAATTTATAAAACAAGTTATATAAATAAGGCAAAGGAAAGACAAAAAGAACATACGAAGCTTCGTTGTTCCCTCATATTAGCTTCGGGCCTTTCCTACGTAGCTCAGGTGGAGGGCAAAGAAGGCCCCCTCCCGGAAGGAAAGAAACAATCCAAAGGAAACTAAAGAAAACGAGAGATTCTTCATTAAATTGTTTATAAATCCAACCAAGTAACTAGCAAACAACCACATTCCCCAAGCATTCCAACTATATGATAGCCCATTACAACAACCAGCCTAACCACATAACTATGAAATAATATTATGAGGTTGCCGTATCTACACTGACCACACTAGTAGTAATACATTTTTTATGTAAATGGTAATAGGTTGATTTTATGAGACTTGTTGTCCTATCTTTCTGGACATCATTTCCTTTCTAATTCACATCTTCTTCTTTTCAAAAATAATATTAAATTTTAAAAAATAGGTCCTATCTGTCGCATAATGAGAAAATCACATCATGCGTAAGACTGAGACAATGACTAATTGAAACAATAACTGGTGGGCAAATGCATGTAATGACACTCTTGTTTCTGCTCATTGAAATTAATAACAATTCAAGAAAGAAGATAATAGCAGGGATTGCAAGCAAAACTTTACAATGCTTTCCTCCTCCCATGGTTCCAATTCTCCCATAATAAACCTGCAATGGTCCGACCTTTACCAACACCGGCTCCATCTCCAATAAAGAATCCTGCCCTGGTATCATTTGGGAGATGGTGCATATGTCTCTGTATTTGTAGTCGACAGTTCCTTAGGAGTGAAGAGAAAATTTAAATTATTGACCATAAAAACATCAACTATCCATAGACCAACCTGAGAAGCATAAACCAATGTCTCAATTTGCAAGCATGACAAAGCTTTTGAATTTTCTAAGTCGTCCTTGACTTTTAAATCATAAGTGGGTTCAGGAGGCTGCACAGCAGATAAGGAGGATGTCTCCACAACTGGATCTGTGTGGGGCAGTCCTATGGATAGCTTAGGAGGGTGCTGCACAGAATGTCAAAAACACAGCCATCTGAGAGCAAATCACAGCTCTGATATTTGAAAACAATGAATAAAGCCCAAACCAAATCTTCCTGTAGTGAAGTTACAAGAGTTTATTATTACTCACATATTCTGTAAATGTTTCTCCCACCATACCACCTTCATCTTCTTCTCTTTCCACTTCAATGGCTACCTAACACATTTCAACTCATAAAAATATTGTACACTTAATGAAAATGCATCAAACTGAAATTTTGGCACCCATTTGATTATGCTTGGTCGATTTTGAGATGGCCATCAAATATTGTAAGAAGCAAAGGCAGAGCAAACTTGCTATAATTTAAACCAGTGTTTTTAAAAATATACACACATATATACACACGCATACTATATATATAACACTAAGAATCAGCATGAAGCTATAATACAATGAAAGTAATGGATAAACCATCAAACACAAACAAATTTGAGGAACGTGAAACCCATCGGTCATCAGTCAAAAAAGAGCACCAAACAGAATAGTAAAAAAGTTGCATAAGAAAACAAAGAGTCACAAAATCATAAAAGTCATTCAACAACAAATTTCAAGTCTTTCAAGGACAAAAGGTCCACAAAATCATAAAAATAAATTACAAAATCACATTGCAATGACCTCAAAATTATAACTAATCATCTCCCTATCCGCATTTTCTCCTTCATTAAATTTGTAGCTCTTTTCGTGCTTCTTCACGTCTATGGAAGAGGAGATTTGAGTGAGAATGTTAACAAAAAGATATTTAGTTTTTATTTTCCATTTTTTATGGGAAATATATTTTCATTGAAATAATGAAATTTATAAAAAGGAGATGGAAAGCCGAAACTTTTCATTCAATTTAACTCTCTTTTAATTTAATTTAACACTATTTAATACAAATCTTGCACTTAAGCAAGCAATAAGCGGATGCTCAATGAGGATAGTCACCTTACCTATGCCTAGGCAAGAAGCATCCCTCAGGCGTGCTTTTTGAGACTTCTTAAAACAGTGATTTAAACCCCAGGGGAAAAAATTGAAAGAAAAACACAAGGATGTATAACAAAATAGATATGGAATGCTATTCCCATTATTGGTCTCAAGCAATCATCTAAAACATAAACACTAGTTAACATATAATGTTATTGACATTGCATAGGACCGGCTGGAGACAATGCATGTTTTTATGCATAGACTGCTGTTATTATTTGCAATCTACATTCTCAACACACACACACACACACATACATAAGCACAAAGAGTTTGCTCCACCATCTTAAAAGAAAATAGTGATATCTCCCACCCGCTAAAAACCATGAGTGGTCATATAGGGCATGTAGCCAAAGGAGAGAGCAGATGTGATGCAACTTAGGAAAGGAAATATTATTGATAAGATTCTGCATTCAAAGATACAACTAAGGCCTTTAAATAGGCAAACAAACAAGGCTCACGGTAACTACAAGTTACCAAGGGGTAAACTAACTAATAGAATTAAAAGACTTAAAAGCAAGCAAGCTAACTTATAACGGGTTAGCTATATCAAGATGACTCATGCGACTAACCACTTATGCGTTACTTGGTCATTGTTAAAAACAGGTAATGGCAATACCATCAACCAACTCTACTCCCGTTGATATTATTTTAGAAAGAGTAAAAAGAAAGCTAACTTGAGGTATCATGACTCACTATCACTCAAGGAAAGACAGAACTGTGGCAATTTAAGGTCGCCGTCTAGATAAAAACTTATATTGTTGAATCCAGGAAACAATGAGCCGTTGGTTAACTCACTAGTATACCAAACAGGAAGCAGCCTTTTACTAAGATGTGAAGGGCTTAACTTTCAACGGCAAACACGTTGTCTTGGACTACTAAAATGGGTGGATGTTCTTTTTCCTGAAAAAATAAAAGGATGCTTATTGCTAAACATAGACTATTTAAGCCTTGCTTATAAATTCGTTAGTGAAGGCCAAAAAGGTGACGAAGATAGATTGTTAGCAGCTGTAAATGGCATAACACAACATAATGTTTTTCGAAAATGTGTGGTTATTCAGAAGGGGGGTTTTTAGTGGTACCTCAGAAGTTCATTTATTGCCAACTTAGGATTTTCCAGAGAGTATGAGCAAAATGGTAGCGAGCATGTAACGTGCAGTGATAATAAAGTACTTAAACTTTGAACCTCTTATCCAGCTTCATACAAGTTCCAAGCAAAAAAAAGATAGATGGTTGCAAAATCCCAGCTAACAGCCGGGCCAGAGTCACCGTAACCATATA